GTGCTGTCCGTTCATGGTTGGCGTTCAGTCACCGAATCCACATGATGCATGATTTTGAGGACTCGCTAAGGAACTTGATTAGATTAACTTTAATGCAGGTAGATAACATGTCAAATACAAAAAATCATAAAAATCAGTATTAGAAATAGATACGCTTTTTAAAAATACATCTTCGCGTGGAGTTCACGGAATCCAGAATGAAATCTTTGGGGTCTAAACAGTCCAAACCCTCTTTGTTCGCCGACTCGTTTGTGTCTCCAAAGGACCGAATGTAACTCTTCAAAGGAGAGACTCGATCTTACTGCTTAAGTCCCCTCCGAGAGAGTCTCCCAGGTCAAAGAGTTGATCGATGCTGACCGTTGAGCTACAGAGGAAATCCGGACGGTTGCCCTCGTCCACCTCCGACCAGGGACTCTGCAGGAATGCCGTGGCCAGGAAAGTTTCCTCATCAAAGTCTACTTCTCTGCTCCTCTGGGTTTCCATCAACACGTGGCTCTCAACGACCCCTCCAGGAGCTGCTTCGAGGGGGCTGATATGGGTGCCCCTAACCATCAAGTCCTCGTCTCGTGGAATGGGGCTCAACGGACCCCCTTCGTTCAAGCTCAGTTCTCCATTCAGGGCCGAGTCCAGGAGGGCGTCCCAGTCAAAGTTGCCCTTTAGGGAGCTTAAGTCCTCCTGCTCATCCATGGCCAGAAGCGGGGAGCTTGAGCGTCGAGTAGCTTTGCTCCCACCAATCCTGTGGCTGTACGCTTGTTTCCTCTTTCCGCCCTTCCCGGAAACCCAACAACTCAGCATGGTGGCTTCGGTCAAACGAGGGTCCCAGTTCTGATCTGCTCCCGTGGCTTCCTCGAACTCTTTCAGGAGCTGCTGGGACTCAGGACTCACGCAAAGGCTCCTAGCCATTCCTGCGGCGGCTACAGCTTGTCCGGTGTGGGAGTTCATCCTGAGGCGGTTCTGGAGGGCCGGGTTGATTTGCACAGGAGGCATCCTGCGCTTCTTGTAGGCCCCGCTGAGGAGGCGCTCTGCGTACTGGGGGTCGATCTTCCAGAACCCACCTTTGCCTGGCTCATCCTTTTGTCTCGGGACTTTTATAAAGCATTTGTTCAGCGACAGATTGTGGCGGATGGAATTCTGCAATGATGAGTGAGAAAATGTATTAATCTCTAGTTCAATCAGTCATTTATAGTTCACCTGTGTGTTGGGATGATGCACTTAAACACGTGGAAGTCAGGCATTAAAGACCTTGTTAAATAGCTTGAGTGCAGTTGTTCTTGTGTGGACATATTTCTTATTGAAACAAGAACATTTGGGCAGGACATATTGTAGGACTTGTCTGATTTTAGTCGTTAGATTAAAGGGTTAGTTCACCTAAAAATGAAATTTCTGCCATTAATTACTCACCCTCATGTCGTTCCAAACCCACAAGACCTTCGTTCGTCTTCGGAACACAAATTAAGATATTTTTGATGGAATCCGAGAGGTTTCTGACCCCACATAGGCAGCAGCGTCAGTGCAACTTTCATTCTCCTACGCTGTTGACGTAGTGTAAACAGGGCAGCGCTTCCAGTTTCTACGTCAGAACGCCGGCTCATTATTGGGCGACTCCTGCGTCAGCATCACATGTGTCGTGGTGATCACATGACCAGGGTCGGCCAATAATGAGCCGAAGTTCTGACGTAGAAACTGGAAGCGCTGCACTGTTTACACTACGTCAACAGTGTAGGAGAATGACGTGGAAGAGAAGAGATTTTTGAATAAACTAATTATTTTTAGGGAGTTTGCGCACAAAAAGTACTCTCGCCGCTTCATAACATTAAGGTTGAACCACTGTAGTCACATGGACTATTTTAATGATGTCTTTACTACTTTTCTGGGCCTTGAAAGTTGCAACGACTGCCTATGGCTGGTTCAGAAACCTCTCGGATTTCATTAAAGATATCTTAATCTGTGTTCTGAAGATGAACGATGATCTTACGGGTTTGGAACGACATGAGGGCGAGTAATTAATGACAGAATTTTCATTTTGGGGTGAACTAACCCTTCAATTTAGGCTTTAGTTTTCCCATCCGTTAACCATTACATGTAACACTTTACAAAAAGGGTCAATTTGTTAATTTTAGTTAATGCATTAAGTACACTGAGTATTGGCATCAGAAATTGCTACTATATTTTACAAATAATTACAAAGAAACGGCAACTTAAGGCCAGTTCACACCAAGAAGGATAACTATATAATGGTGACTATATTAGTGTCCAAACCAACGGACGAGAATGTTCTGTTTATTATAAGTGTGTGCTGCAGTTTTGTCGTCTGTTGCTTTGAATACTCAAGCTCTTTAAGGATGGATTCTGATTGGCTGTCATTGTTTTTAAGGTTCGTAAGCAGGACAAAATCTTTCTGTAAAAAGCGAACCCAATGATATCATTCCTCTGTGTCGGTATCATTTAGAACGAAAGTATTTTTTGGGAGCCGATATCCTTGTGGGCAGCGCTCCAACATGCGCTCCTTCGGGCTCCTTCTCTCTCTCACTTTGCTTCCTGTTTACTTTATACTATGCTATCGCAATAATACATGGCAATAAATGGCAATAATACCTACAGTATATACAACTATATCGTTATAGTTATCGTCCTTGGTGTAAACGGGTATTAACACATTTAATGAATTATTACATTTTAAAGAAGAAAGACTAAAGTAGTATTTTCTTGTAAAACATACTTCAGTAATCTTTGTTTTATTAATTGTTTTTACAGTGTATCATAAAAAAACGAACAATGCTTTTACATCCTTCATTAGTCCAGGTCAAAGCTAATGTCTACAAATACTAATACATTTTTAATATTTGAGCATTTTTAACATGTAGGCCTATACAAAAAGTTCAATTAGTTTAATGTATTAAAGGTGCATTTACATTTACAGTTACTCAACAACATTTGGCAGGCAAAATCTAGCCATTTCAATAGAAATCTGCGCAACTGGGAATTTGTGTTGGGGCGAAACATTTCCCCTTGCAGATTTCGCATCTGGTTTGAGTTTTTTATTCAAAATTTCCACGTTCACCAATAGAATTGAAAGAGACTCCTATGTGAGCAGTGCCGTTGAACAACCGTATAAATTAACAATAATGAAAGAAAAACTGTAAAAAATTGTATTTCTTAATACCTAATACATTAACTATGTTAACAAATTGGACCTTATTGTAAAGTGTTACCTCATTTGCTACTTGCTAAGTTGGTGGTATATAGGGGGGGGACATTCTCATTCAGAACAGCATTTAATTGGACAAATATTTAGCTATGCAAATGAGTACAAAATGCATCATTAATTTTTGTGGACCATTTCCTAGAAGAGGAAGACTGTATATTTGACATACATGCACATGCTAAATGATCATTTTGTCAATTTTCAGTAGTATGCAAGACCGCAAAGCTAATAAAGATGTCCAATGTCAATATTTCGGGCACGCCAGCCTCCACAAGCTAATTGCGTTTAGCCTAAATGAAGCACTGACTTCCTAACCCTGGTTAACCATTGCTTTGAGTTAAAATATCTAAAAACTGAGCGAATGTCTGTGTTTTCTTCAGAGAAAAGGAGGTTATGGCTAAGGGGTTAATTAATAATTCACCAACAACTAAATCTTTTTAGAAATCCCCCGCTTTTTTTTTTGTGTGTAAATATCCAACTTATGAGCTCATTCTTCCTCCTTGCCTCATGAACACGTTTCAAAAGGGGACAAATGTATCTTTTTGTGCATCTTTTGTATCTTTCGGTATAGTCAGCTAGGATTACTCTTTTGCTGCTATTCTTACACGTGAGGGCACTTCATTAGCAGTATACAACTATCATCAAAAGCTCTCAAAATATCAAGCCTCTAAACAACGGCCTTCTGAAAGGTTTCTGTCGGTCTCTCTCCAATACACAACCTACTTCAGCAGGTGCTAAGAAGGCTTTCTCTCGCTCCAGTCCGCTCAAACAATAGCAAAACACCCCTCTTTGGCATTTGCCAGCTATGCAAATGATGCCGGTCTCATGGTTAACCATCTATTAGGTGCATCCACCCTCTGGTGCTGATAATTTTTTTTTACATTTTTCTTCATCGGAATAGTACGAAACTTTGTAAAGTGGTCTATGTGAACACACAAAAAAAAATTTATAAAAAAAAGGACATGATTCGAACAGGTTTAATGGTCCTGAAAAAAAAAATAGTCACACTTGTGCTCCTCGCGGTCAAAAATGACGGCATTGGAAATGAATGGGAGACGAATTTCATCTAGTGGAGGCGTTTGGTACTGCGGCCAAACAAAATATTACTGAAAACTCATTTTTTGAGATATCAACCTCAAATTTGGAATACAGCTCGTTTAGATTTATGGCTTTGATTTTATCACAGTTTTAGATTAAATATGTATTTTATGTAAAAAATTTAAAATACTATTTTTGTACCATTTTTCATAACAATAAACATAAAATTCTTAAACTTTTTTAAGTTCACTTTTTAACACTTTTTTGACTTCAGAAATAATCTGCCAAGCGTCGTCTTTGACAAGAGATCAAACTCTCAAAGTCCGAAGCTCGAAAAATTAAAGATTTACGACAGTTTAAGTTGAAAATTAAATGTTCAGGTCTACGCTCAAAAAGTAAATAAATAGATTATAAATACAGCATAAATATAATATAGTACCATAAAATCCCTTAAAAAATACAAAATATTGTATAAAAAACATGACCGGAACTAAAATATAGTACAATAATTTAATTGAAATAAAAAAATTGCTAATTTTTGACCGACATGCGAAGAGCCCCAGAGTGTAAATGAACGCTGTTTTATAACACGGAGAGGTTTGCCTATATATTGCGTCTTACCTGCCAAGTGGGGTCAGCGTGGCGGAAGTAGCAGAAGTTGTCCGTGATCCAATTGTAGATGCACGAGAGGGTGATTTTGGTTTTCTTGCTGGCCTGCATGGCCATGCAGATGAGAGTTGCGTATGAGTACGGAGGCTTGATGTGAGGGTTGGTCTTATAATCGACTTCATCTGGACAGTGTCCGTGGGCCACCAGGCTGGGCAGAGCCGACAAGGACGGCACCCTGTAGAAAGACGCCGCCGTGGGTTTGCCGGGAGTCAGAGGCATGCCCATGGACGCCGGGTCTCCCGCTAAAGGAGACGCGGGCGCATCCGAGCCCACTCGGCTCCCGAAGAAGTGGCTGTGCTGGTGGGCGGACTGGGACGAGCTGGCGTTGAGGATGGAGAACTCCTGGAGCCACTGGAGGCTGGTCAGGCTGTCGTCCAGGTTTTCTGCGCTGTTGCACTCGACTGAACCGCGGTCCAAGCACTCGGCCTGAGCGGCGGCCGTGACCACCTCCTCCTCCAGCCCCACCGAACCCTCGGGCCAGGGGTCGTCCGTGTAACTCATGGACAGCATGCTCCTTTCCCAGCCAAATCCTGAGGGGACAATGAAGATTAGACCAACTGCTTGTTTTCGTTATCAGGCAACTGTGGAAGCTTTATTTGGGTTCTCCGGCTTATAGAGTGATTATACATTTAAGTACCGAGTAATATTGATTAACAACGTGTACTTACTATAGGGTAAGGTTTAGTTGCATGTCATTGCTGTTAAGTAACACTTTATTTTACATTGTTACATAGTATGTTACATGTAGCCTAGTTACTAAAGTAATAATCTGACAGTTCAAATTACTTTGGCCATCCTAACCCTTATAAAAACGAACAATGACTGCAGTAAAACCATAGTTATTTGTGTAATTACTATGGTTTTACTGCAAAAATCATATTTAAGCCATACTTACTGTGGTAAAACCATAGTTATTTGTGTAATTACTATGGTTTTACTGCAAAGAAATCATAGGTAAACCCTGGTTACTGTGGTAAAACCATGGTTAGTTACTATGGTTTTACTGCAAAAATCATATCTAAGCCATACTTACTGTGGTAAAACCATGGTTACTTTTGTACTTACTATGGTTTTACTATACAAATCATAATTGAATCATGGTTACTGTGGTAAAACCATGGTTAATTTGGTAGTTTACCATGGTTTCACTACAGAAAAACATAGTTTGATAAAAAAACATATTTAATTTTGTTGTTAACTATCACTTTTACTAAATAAATCATAGTTGAACCATGGTTACTGTGGTAAAACCATGGATGATTTTGGTGTTGCTTTATTTGGATTCTCCGGCTTATAGAGGTCATAGAACTTTCCGGAAACTTCCCAGGTCACTCTTTACGACATCTCATTACTGGATACACAATAGAGCAGATCCCAAACCACTGACATTCCTCAGCATGGCAGGTGCATTAGGACACTCACAAAATATGATGTTTTGCCTTCGATATTCAAAGATGTTGGTACGGCATCCTTGTTACATGTACTTACTATCTAGTGATAACAACAAGGTTACACTTTATTTGAAGGTGTCTTTGTTTGTTTCACTGTAACTATACATTTAAGTACTGAGTTATATCAAGTAACTACATGTACTTACTATAGGGCTAGGATTAGGGTTTGGTTTAGGGTTAGTTGCGTGTAATTATGAATAATTTATAGTTATTACTTTAGTAACTACATGTACTGTAACAATGTAAAAAAAGTGTTACTTAACAGAAATAACATGCAACTAACCCTAGTAACAATATGTTGTTAATTAATATTCCTCAGTACTTAAATGTATAATTACACTGTAACAAGGTAAAGTGTAACCAATATGTTTAGTTTAATAAAACTCAATAAACTATTGCTAATAAAGCAAGTTTACTTAGTTTCCCTTTTCAGCTATTTTTTTTTTTTTTAGGTTTAGATATCATTTTAATAATTACCAGATAACGCATTTTGTAATTTAATCCCGCACATAATATTCACTAATACTTATAAACACATTTGGTAACACTTTATTTTACAGTTTTCTTTGTTTCACATGTTACATGCAGTTAGTAATAACTATAAATTATGCATAATTACATGCAACTAACCCTAAACGACCAATATTCCTAACCCTAACCCTATAGTAAGTGGCGTATGTAGTTAATTATTATGACTCGGTACTTAAATGTATAATTACACTGTAAAACGGACACCTTAAAAATAAAATGTAACCTGTTTTTTTGTTTTTGTTTTTTTTTAGATGATAATACGTCATGTCTAACGTACTCGATGAAGAAAACCTTGCATCAACTCACCTGTCTTTACCGATAGGAGCCTTGAGTGACAGAAAAATAACATCCAATAACTCAAGAAAGGAAAAGTGTATCCGATGAAGTGTGTGTGACTTCCAGAGGTGCAGCTGCTGGAGAATGTGCGTCTCTGCGCGTCTCAGCTCAAGGTCTCCGGGGCAGCAGGAGCTCCGGGGCCAGTTTAATACCTGCTGCTGCAGGACGTTTGTCCGGTCACCCTAGCAACGGCGCACCCCCCTGTAAACAGATTCCCGTTCTTCTATTGGACGGCTGGTTGTTATGGTGACTGGGCGAGCGCACAGGACAGGTTTGTGAACGTTACACACGTTCGCTTCGAGAGAAAGAGCGACGGAAACGATACTTTACAAACGAGGAAAACACATCATAATGTTGTGTACAATGACATTGTATAATTTCTTGTATGTAATAAATACAAATTGCAAACGAAAACAAAGTGAAATGCGCACTCTTGTCACCTGTGTACTTTTGAACTCAACGAGCAGAATGTTTTTTGGTGTAAATTATTTTTGTAATGATTTTTTAATGTCCTTTTTGATAACCAATTTGAAAAATAGTTATTTCTACTTTATCTGACAAATTAAATAGCTTTGGCCATCATGACCCTTATTAAAATTAACCATGGTTTTACTAAAACTGTAAAACCATTTTTGTAATTACCATGGTTTTACTTCAAAAATCATAGTTGAATCTTACTGTGGTAAAACCATGGTTCATTTTGTAGTTTAATATGGTTTTACTGCAAATGCTGGTTATTTTTGTTGTTTTTATGGTTTTACTAAAAAAAAAACATTGTTGAATCATGGTTACTGTGGTAAAACAATGGTTAATTTTGTATTATACTATGGCTTTGCTGCAAATGCTGTAGTAAACCATGGTTATTTTTGTTTTTTTATATGGTTTTACTAAAAAAAACATTGTTGAATCATGGTTACTGTGGTAAAACAAATGTTAATTTTGTACTTTACCATGGTTTTACTACGAAAATCATAGTAGCCGAACCATGGTTGTGATAAAACAATGGTTAATTTTGTATTATACTATGGCTTTGCTGCAAATGCTGTTGTAAAACCATGGTTATTTTTGTTGTTTACCATGGTTTTACTAAAAAAGAAATCATAGTTACTGTGGTAAACCCATGGTTCATTTTGTAATTACTGCAAATGCTGCAGTAAAAGCTATGATTCTTCTAAATATCTGTTATTTTGACTTGTAGAAATTGGCACTGATGTGTCTCAAGCCACCTGTTTCTTTACTTGAAGAGGAGGAACCAGGTCTAAAATTGTCTTGAACAATCAGATCAGACCAAAAACAAACATGTCGGGGGGGTCAAACAATAAGGAATGCGTTTAAAGTGATTTCACGCGTGACTGGCACTAAGGCAAGAGAGGAAAGGGCTTCAGGAACTGTCTCTTTACTCTCAATACAATGCCTGTTAATGGGAGCGGGACAGTCTGCAGCCTCTCGACAAGAGTTCAGGCGTCAGACTGCATTCAACAGCACCATGTAACACGTATTAGCATTGTTTCCACACAAACGCCACATTATACAGTCATTGATGTGTTTAAATGAATGAAACTGACAGTTAAAGGGATGAGCCTCAAACTCGACTTGCTCTCAGGACAGGTTTAAGGCGATAAGTGTTGAGTTTGAGTGCATCTAAAGGGGTTGTTTTTGAAGGAATGCACTTTTTGTTGGTAAAATAGAGGGACTAAATAGAGGATAAAAAAGCTACAAGAGGGATTGTCCTCTTGAGCGCTCTTCTGTTAGTGTGGCTGAGTGGCTTCCTGCTAAAGAAACTCTACAAAAGCAACCATAGCAATAAAAGCTTCAGCATCTCTTGAGCTCGTCCTTCTTCAAGCCTTCTGCTTCACATGTGATGTGACAAACGCCAATCAGACGGGCTCTGGATGAGAGAGAAAGAAGCAAACAGAGCTTTGGACATCAGGCCAAACTCATAATTCACAAGCAGTGCTGAAATGACCACCATATATGACCACAAGAAGAAAATGTATACACCTTTCATGTGGTAACATCAAATTAAAAGTTTTATTCGAGTCCAAAAAACTATAATTTAATATAACTGAATCATCCTGACGATGTTAATGAAATTTCATCATTGTTTTACCACAGTAACCATGATCCAACTATGATTTTTGTAAAACCAGTAATCTACAAAATTAACCATAGTTTTACCACAGTGACCATGATTCAACTATGATTTTTGTAGTAAAACCATAGTAATCTACTAAATGTTTGTAGAATAACCATAGTTAACTACAAATTAACCATGGTCTTACCACAGTAACCATTATTTTTGTAGTAAAACCATAACTACACTCTAAAAACGGGTTATTTTTGTGTTCCCAATAGCTGGGTTAAAAATATTGGGTTATTCAGAACATTTATTGGGTTAACATAACCCAACATTAGCTCGGTGCTATATCAACCCACCATTGGGTTAGCTGTTGGGTCGTTTTTAACCCAACTTTTTTAAGTGAGTACAAAAATAACTGGTTTTACCAGTAGCCATGATTCAACTAAATGATTCTTGTAGTAAAACCATAGTAATGTACAAAATTAAGCATGGTTTTAAGTAACTTGATTTCTGTGAGTGATGACGTCATTGTTGATATAAAGAATTAGCATTTTAACTATAGTGATAATTTAATTGTTAAGACTTTGGGAAGACTTTACAATGGTTTCGTTGGTTAACATTAGTTAATCTATTTCATGAACTAATAATGAGCAATACATTTGTTACTGTATGTGTTAATTTTTTTTATTGTAAGGTAATAAAAGTACAGCTGTTCATCATTTGTTCATGTTAGCTCAGTGCATTAACTAACGTTAACAAATACAACTTGTGATTTTTAATAATGTATTAGAAAATATTGAAATTAACATTAACAAATATTAATACATTTTTTAGAAGTGCGGGTCGTTCTTTAATGTTAACTAATGAAACCTTATTGTAAAATGTTGCCAAATTGTTTGTTTATATATAAACATATCATGTTAATGATTAAAAGTAAAAAAGGCTAGATATAGGTGGCTTTGAAATTATTATAAAAATGAGCAATTTATGATATCAAATGTTTGAACCAAAATCAGTGTTATTTTAGTATTATTGAAAAAGTATTAGGATCATTATAAAATACATACATTTTTTAATATGTATATAAAAGGTTAATGTAACATATTGCTTTCATTTCAAGAAAAAAAAACAGTTTTTAATGGTTTTATTTTCAATTCTGGTTTTAGTTAATGATAATAAGCCTGCTTGAATCATTTTTAAGCCTAAAAAGAAAAGCTGTGTCAAATTGCTATTCCTAATTGACATATTAGTCTAAATTTAACTTCATGTAAACAGTCTCAATGTCAAATGCTACCAATCTGTACTCTTCAACTTGCTTGTTTCTAAAGAAAGGTGTTGTTTTGTAGTACGACTATCAGACGTTTTCAGATTGACTTTAACCACTAGAGGGCGCGAGCACAAAGCTGCTCACAACCGAGTCACGTGTCATTCTACCGCAACCAATCATTAGGCTTCATAACATACTTATTTACTTATACTTCCCTTTTCTGTTTTTACAGTCGCTAACAATATTAATATAAGATTAATAGCCTATTAATTATTATGCACACTTAAAATGTCTGAACATCATTATTATATATCAATCCAAATATAGCATATAGCAAAAGTGCACTTTTTAAAGTATATATTAATTTTTTTAGATGTTTTATTTAAAATAAACCTCTTATTATACCCTATACCTGTGTAAAGGGAGTTCATCCATCTCCTAAAAATGAACATATTAAGACGCAGCTGATTTGAAACTTTGTATCTAATACAGACATCCATGCATTTGTACTTGTGACTTAAGTGTTGCGATAGAAGAAGAAGAAGAAGAAGAAGAAGAAGAAGAAGAAGAAGAAGAAGAGCATCAGCTCTGAAGAGCGTCTTAAGACCCCTCAGTTTAATTTTGATCAGTCATTCACAGATGGAGATGAGCGTAAAGCTCCTGTGAAAACAAATGAACCAGGAGTCAGAGGGAAAGTGCAGCCCAAGGCCCACAAAACACGTCAAGAGATAAAAAAAGATGTGCAAACACGGTCCTCTGGCAGCGTGAAGACACAACAGAGATGAGTTTACATCCGGCAAACTTCAAAACAGACCAAAAATACTATACAAGAACCATACAAGATTTAATATGTGAAGTGATTTAATCCACAAAAAAAAAGGTGAATCATCTTTTTAAACCCCAGTTTATATACACTGACTGGCAATCTAAAGTTTGGAATAGTTATTTATGTTTTTGAAAGTAGACTCTTGTTCTCACCGAGGCTGAATATGTTTGATATAAAATACAGTAAAAACAGTAATATTGTGAAAAATTTATTCCTGTGATCATCCATCATTACTCCAGTCACATGATCCTTCAGAAATCATTATAAAAGTGCGGCGTCTGTTATCTGTTCTGTATGAAAAGAAAAAAATAAGATAATCGGGAGGTACAGTGGATTGAAAACAGCTCTCGTCGTCACGGATATTCTTGTTAAACACCAAATACATAATTTTCCTGAAGTGCCGCACATAATTTAAGTTGATAAAGTGTGAAAACATAGGAAAAATGTAATTCTGAAGAAAGCTGTATATGTAGTGGTGGATGAAATAAAAAATGACACACTATTTTTTATGGAATATTGTATTTATTGTAAGTGGTTTATCCCCAGCCAACACAGCCATGTGGGGCCCACATGGGTTTGACCTGGGCTATCTAACTGGGACCCAGCCAGTTTTGTCCACGGTTTCCATGTAGGCCCCACATGGGTTTGCCCAGATGAAATGAACACTGCTCAGTGTGCACACTACAGGCTGTTAAATGTAACACATATCAGTGTTGGAGTTAATGAGATAATTAATTGATTAAATAATGATTGAGCATTATTGTTAACAAGCCGAATCAGTGAAGGAAAGAGAAACACAATAACTACTTCCAGCCACAGCCTTAGATGAAATCAACTGAAGATAAAATACACAAAATCTCTCAAGATCTGATTAAACAACTCCACAAACAGCATTACCAGCTTCACTTATTACTAACCAGGTTGACTTTATTTCTGGTAGACGTCTACAGAATTTCTTATTCAGAATTAACAGAGTTTAAGATGTTGATGATTTAATGAATATAATAGTTTGGTTTGATGTCACCAATATGGTGATAAGTGTTTGCT